CACAGGTGCATCAAGATGCCCACCCTGAGTCCAGTGAGACAGGATAGGTGGCAAGCAAAGTCACCTGCAAATGTCCAGTTGACTCACGAGGTTGACAGATGGTATTTTCATAGGAGACAATCCCAATCCCTGACCCTGTTGTCCAAGAAGGGCTATTCAAGCTTTCAAAAAATCCTGTGGGCCTGGTGGATGCTTCAAACTGGCTGCAGCAACAGAAGCAAAGGTCAAACTGGCTCCATCAACTAGTAAATGACTTAAATGTGACCCTGAAGTTAGCAGGTGCTTGATCCCCCTGGAAGGTAATGATGGGAATTTAAACTTATGTGGCTTCTTCCCCAACCATCAACTCCTGAAAGTAGCAGAAGACAGCAGGGAGGGGACAGTGGAAGACTGACATTCCTGCTCAGTTCAGGTGGGTATAAGTTCCCTTGGTGGAGAACACAACCTTCTGATCTGTTTCAAGTCCCTCTGGGTCTCAGGCAGTCTCCCCTGCCATGCCAGCTCTGTCTCAAGAGGACTCAGGCTGGCCAACTTTGACCAACCCAGATTGCCACCCAGGCAGCCCTTCCTGAAGACCAGAGAGGTAACCACTGACAGAGGGCTTTAGCACTATAAATTTAAGGTGAGACAACAGTGCTCTTGCATAAAGAGACAGTCTATTGTAGCAATGATATTCTGTATACAGATTTAAGATCCATCATTATCAAAATACACACACTAAATATACAACTTTTCCAATGGCCATAATTTATTATCTCACCACAAGGCACAATACACAGAGCTTTGAGGGTCCAATACAGTCATCATGACAGAATGCACCACAGCCTTGGCACATGATCATGGCTTTCAGGCTGCACGCACATTGGAGCGAGATACTTTCCACTGTGCTGCTGTCAGTGAACATCTGCAAGGAGAGTGACACGCTGTGACTTGCACCAAAGTTTGCTTTGTGGCTCAGCTGCACCATACTTCCAGCAAGGCCTTTGGGAAAGGTTGGTGTGCTGGAAGAGTAATTAAAGCTGGTGGAACTCAGCTGGAGTTTAGAAAGCTTCCCATAAAAAGCCTGCTTGATGTTGAGTTGGGAGGGAATGGAAGAAGGCTCTAGAGGCTGACTGAGCCCTTTCCCTGGCTCTCGGGGTAACTTCCAGAAGGGCAAGTCCATGACAAAAGGCATCCCTTGAAGGTGACCCACCAGTTCCAGAGGACTGTGCCCAGCAGCTTTCCTGTTCTCTGCATCTGCCTTAAGAGGACCCTCCACAGCCTTTTCATTCTTGATGCTAACAGAAGCAGGTGGTGGCTTTGGAACCCAGTCTTTTGCAGTCTGTACTCCATCAGATACAGTTTTTTTGTTCAACCCCAACTTTCTATTGGGAAGAACCGGAGGGACCTCAGAAGGCAGCAGTGTTGAGTCTGTGGGCCTGGAGCACTGAATGGTTGCAGTCATGTTCCTCAGGCCAAATAGCTTTTTCTCTTGGCCTCCAACATTATTCAGAGCCCCAAATGTCTGCTTTGGACCAAAAGAGATAACATTTGGAGATGAGAAACAAGGTGCTCTCGAGGTAGTGAGATCTCCTGGATCTAAAGCAACTGAATTACTGCACTGGGATACATCCTGGACATCCTTCTTTTCTTCAAAACTAAAGGGAGAGCACTGCTCTTTGGAATCCACTTCTTCCAGTTTCCCAGAGGAGGCCATCAGATTTGTCACTGGCTGTAAGAGGTCTAAACTCGGAGCCAACTTGGAAATCTTCTGGGATATTCCAGGAGCCTGGGTGGCCCCTACCCTGCCAAGACTCTTTGTTTCACATCTCTCAGGCAAAAGATCCTTTAACATTCTTGAAGAACCAGGACTGCTTTTGCTAACCATGTGACCATTTGCCCCAGGATTATGCACAGATCCTAGGGCCAGGGGCCCACCATGGCTCTGATCTTTTATAAGTGGCAGTTGGGATTCTGGCTTGCTGCCAACATGGGCTGGAGGAAGAACCTTCTCTAGGGGCAAGTTCCCCTGTAGCAATTGCATCACAAGTGGGTTATTGGCCTCCACTGTGGCCCCAGGCCTGGTCAAGCACATAGGTCTTGGCTGGTACTCACTACTGGCCAGCAGGAGAGAGTCTGGGATCTTCTGGGGTACTGCACATACTCGAGAAACCCAGCTCTGAGAAGTAACCACCCCCTCTGTCCTTGTAACCAGACTCAGGTCACTGTGAACCTTGGTCAAAGATGTAGACTGGTTCCAATCATGCTTGGTATCCTTTTCTATCAAGGATTCCTTTTTCACTGTGGTTTCACTACTGTCAGACTCACTGCTATCCTCAGTCAGGTGGCCTTCAAAGTCAGATGCTGTATCTGTGGATTCACTATGAGGACTCAGTGCTTCAGAGCCTCCACTGGTTTTCAGCTTTTCAACATGAACCTGCTTGTCTACCATGTCAGTGCCAGCCATGGCTCGAGGTGTCATAGTCCAGAGTGAAGTACAACTGTCAAGGGGAGCCACACCCTCAGCTGCCACGCCCCCAGATAACATGGCAATAAGGGGAGGTGCTTTCTCCCATTCTTCCCTAACCTGAGGCTCCACAGATGGTACATTTTCTCTGGATTCTGGCTCAGATCGGTTCACTACTTTGTCATTCAACAGAATGGGACTCCAAAGAGCAGCATTATCAGAAGTGAGAGCCTCACTTCTCAAAGTCTGTCTACTATAACTTTCCTTCATGGATGAGCCTGAGTTACCAAGTCCTGATTTGCCATCAAATGGTCTGTCCTGCAGGGAGCCAGTCAGTGATAATTCAGGTGTGGAACTGGGGGTCATGTTTACAGGATCCTTCACGGTAGGATTACTGCTGACAGTCTGGCCAGCTGCTTCTGCTAATGTATCTCCCACTAGAGACTGTACAGGACTATTCTCTAGAGCAACAGTGGCTCCTTGTTTCTCATGATCCATTTCCCAGGAAATGGTACCAGACTCATACTGAGTTCTAGAATCTTGATGCAACTCAGGGTGTTCTGTTAATCTGTCAACCACCAGGGTTTGGGATGATAGAGAGGGTAAAGCCTGGCATGGCTGGTCCCCAGTGGGAGCAATGGGGGGCTGGGAGGCATCATCCAGCCCACTTGCGAGCACACCTGGGACCCTCTGCAGTGGGCAGTTTTCCTCCTTCCTATGAGAAGCCAAATCTTCTCTCCTGGCCCTGGACATGGCAGTTCCAGCCTGTTTGTGCTCCCCATTCAGAGGACAAGGCGGCAGTAGTTGTGCTCGCTGTAGATCTGACGTACACTCTCTGGGGGTGCCCGGGGCTCCCCTGGGCTCAGGGTGGCCACAGGCCTCACCACCATCACCACTGCTGGCGCTTCTGCCACCTCCCTCATCAGTGGCCCCGCTGCCACCTCCACCCTGGCCCCCCCCCCCCTCCGATGGCAGTGGTGGTCGTCTCTCGATGGCAGTGGTGGCCTCTCGCCCCTCGGGCCTGCAGAGCACGGGCTTTAATGTCTTTGAGAGTCCTTGCACCAGTCCAACCCCGGCAGGAGGACTCTGTGATAGGGACGATCCGGGGGCATATCTGGTAAGTGGGCTGACCTTTAACCACCCAGGGTGGTTTGATACGTGAAAGTTGTATC